AGAGAGAGAGAGAGAGAGAGAGAGAGAGAATTTTTAATATTTTATTTTTTAGTTATCGGCGGACACAACATCTTTGTTTGTATGTGGTGCTGAGGATCGAACCTGGGCCGCACACATGCCAGGCGAGAGCCCTACCGCTTGAGCCACATCCCCAGCCCCTGAAAAAAATATTTTCTACTGAGTATTTATTTCTCCACTTCTCTGTTCTAAATAATGGAGAAAATTGCCTCTTCCACTGCCAAAATCAAACAGGTTCCTTTTGTTAATGAACTATCCACTGAAAACAATTTAATAACTAGGCTTTCATTTTTAAAAGTATATAGAATATTTCAATCTTATAAAAGTTAATTTATTAATAATCTATTATTCTGCTACTATTATGATTATTATATATTGAAGAAACATGAAAAGAACGAACAAAGAAAATAAGAAAAAGTGTAAACATCATATAATATATCACTGAAAAGAAGGAAGTTAACAAAAGTATTAGAAATTAAATGTTCTTAAGAAAGAAGCAAATGGGACAAAGGGAATCTCTTAATATGAAGTTCTACATACTTCAAACTATAAAAATTTAATAGTTACAACATAGGTAACATTTAATAATTTTATGATCCAATTTCATAGCTACCTCTCTCTTGATTTAGAAACAAATCCCTGAAATTTTTTCAGGTAGAATCTGTTTAATTACTATTAGAAACAAAGACAGTTTCAAGTATAAAAGCTTAAAATACAGGCAATTTCTTCCTCATGGCAGATTATTATTAAAAAAGTATCATAAATTACTTATGTGCAATGTATGGAATATACTTAAATAATATTTAGTGTACATATTACTATATAGTAATCACAATCATATAAAATTCTATTTAATTTGTTTTTATAAAATCAACTATAATTAGGCTTCATTTAGAAGGTTGAAAAATATGTCAATCAGGCTTAATGTTCAGGGTTTCCTAAAAGAAAAAAAAATCTGATGGTGTCATTGAGAAGACTTTTGGGGAGGATTTGGAATTAATGGTGACATTTCGAGGCTGGATCCAAGTTGATCTGCTTAATTGTTCCTTTATGCACTGTTGACTGACTTGTGACAATTTCAGATGGACTGCTTCAACTCCCATTCCTCCTCCCATCCAGAAACAAGTGAATCTTTTTTAGCTTTGAGGACGTAACTCTTTCAACAGCAATGATGGTGAGCAATGCCTACTTCAAAATGCACAGGTCCTCTCTCATTCATGGAATGAATTATTCAGTCTCTGATTTCTCAACATATAGTTGTTTCAGTAACTTCAAATCACAGTTAAAACTGAGAGGTGCCTCGCTGAACTTGATAGAATCAACAAGGTCAAGCTTTCCTATTTAATCTCCAAGTTCTACTCCTAGCTTTCTAGAGAGGTTTGAAGTTATTCCTAAAGAATTGTTTCTTTTTCCTTTTTATAGGCCATCTAAAAGGATCTTTTAAAGTTAAAAAATTATAATTATAAATAGGTAAAGACATCCTCAGCTGAGGCCAGATACATTAGTGCTTGCCTTTTGGACCAATTCATCAATCTGGCAAAGGGTTTTTATTACTTCATAGATGTGGACTCTGTTCAGGGTGTCTACTCCCCCGCTCCTTTCCTACCCTTTACCTCAGGTTCTACTTTGCTACTTTATTCTGTTCTGTTCTTTCCTGCCCTTCTAATGCTAGTCAGGAACTCTTGAAAAACTCCAGAAGGTCACAACTGTGCTAGAACCAAGAGACTTGCCCCAGATACAAATGATGTGGTAGGGGTGGGGTGGGGTAGTATGTGTGTGTGTGTGTGTGTGTGTGTGTGTGTGTGTGTGTGAGATAGGCTATTAGGGACAACTCGAAGCAGAATGCTGATGTCATTCTGTCATTGTTGTCTATCCATGCTAAGTGCCATGAAGTAATATCATGGATGTAATTGGCCAAGCACCTTAAATATAAATGTCTATAAGGTTAAGTGTCAAGAAGAGCCATGTGTGCATTTCCATTTGTGTAAATATATTTCCATAATACTGCAGGCAACACATCATCTTGCTTACACACAAGTGGTTCCTATATACCTCTGACATGCAGAGAAGTGACTGTGATGTTACATGAAAATATCTTTTTTTAAAAAAAATATTTTTAGTTGTCAATGGGCCTTTATTTTAGTTATTTATATGTGGTGTCATGAATCAAACCCAGTGCCTCATGCATGCTGGGTAAGTGCTCTACCACTGGGCTACAACTCCAGCCCACACGAAAACATCTTAATATGAAATTTCAAGATTGATTTGAGATGTCTGATGCATGAATACACAATTAAGTTCATTAATATAACCCAAGCTTTACGTAGTTCATCCGAAACACAGAGCTTGATATTCTCATAAGGTAATAAAACATCATTTAGTAGCAGAATCTAGCATGAAACCTTAAGAAAAATTTTAATTCTCCATATTTGAAGAATTTGACAGGTATGCATAAAACTTCAGTTAATTCCCAGAAGGATAGACTACTGCTTTCCTAAGTCACTGGGTGACCTTGCATTGAAAGCAAAGTATGAGCAGTTCTCTTTACATTTGCTTTGTAAAGAGATGTTTCTAAAGAATAGAGTAGCAAGATGCAAAGGAGTTAAGTGCCTTCAGTAAAATGAGGACACACTTGCTTCCTAGAGGTTACCAGAATACAAATGTAACTACCAGCATTCATTACTTAGATTAAGTTGTTTCCAAAGTAACTCTGACAGTTACAAATAAAACTAAAAATGTTCAGTTCGAAAAATGGAAAAAAAAAAGATAAAAATAAATGGAATTTGAATTGCTTTAGAAAGCATTAGTCCCTGTAGGAATTTATGGTAGGTGGTGGGGGAGTAGACACCTTGTTTAGGGATTTTGCATATTAAAACTATTTTATTTCCAAAGGTGATATCCAAATTTACATTGACTATAAAATAAAATCTGAGTTGCTCTTACATGGCAAGAGAAAACTTTTTTGGTGAGTAATTACTATTTTTAGTATATTACTATGTATACAAAATGAGTGGAGCTAATCCTACAATAAATCATGTTTTTCGATACTAGGGAGAGACTCTCACATGGACAACAGAATATAATTTTTCCACTTAAAGTGTCAAGCAGCTGGTCAATTACAATGTCACAAAACAAGACTAAAACATTCACCCTGAAGTTTACTAATTTTGCAGAACTCTATTTTAGGAAAAGAAATGAATGATGAAAAAACAGAAGGAATTCAGGAGTTGAAAGGTAGTCACCTAAAATATGTACAGTGAATTGCAGAATTTTTTTATATTACTTTTGTTCTAAAAAAAGAATATCTAAGAAACAGAATAAAAAATGTTCTGTCTTAAGTCCCCATGTCAGAGTGAGGAAATGCTCCCACCAATTCTATAAGAATTCACCAAGCAATGTTACCTTTGGCTACATCAGTGGCCCAGGTCATAATGTGATCCATGTCCATCTCCTCACTTCTGTTACTATTAATATAATCATAGAGTGATCCCAGAGAAGCATATTCTATTTTAAAAGGAAAGAAAAGCACATAATCAAAACCAAGGAGCATTTCAGAAATAAGACTTTATATTTCCATCAACAAACAAAGTTAACAAAAGACATCCAAAGTATACAAAAATTTATTCTATGCTGTGTTTTCTTTCTTTCTTTCTTTTTTTTTAAAATATTTTCTTTTTAATTTTTTTTTAGTTATCAGCGGACACAACATCTTTGTATGTGGTGCTGAGGATTGAACCCGGGCCGCACGCATGCCAGGCGAGCGTGCTACCGCTTGAGCCACATCCCCAGCCCAATGCTGTGTTTTCTAAAAGTTAATATCATTGGGGGTAGGAGGAATCTGTGAAAGACAAGCTCACTAACACAAAATGAACAGTAAACTTTAGTTGAGAATCAAAAGCCATTTAGAAGGAACTGAGAAACACAAAGAAGTGTTGGAAAAATGTACTTGAAACACAGACATGCAGGCAAATAGGTATTTCTTTAAAAGTTGTTATTCTTGTGAGATAAATACTATTAAATAAATAAATCAGAGTTTATGTTACAAACTGTCAACAAACCAATCCTTGTTGCATCTGGATTTAGAAGAGCTCTCAAAATACAAGCACAGAAGGTCAAGAAAGTGAGAAGATTCCTTTAAAAATGGCTCTCCTGAAGAATAAATTACATGCCATAAAATTCACTGCCTGTAAGTACACACTTTGATGATTTTTAGTAAAGTCAAGAGTTGGGCAATAATCATGACAATCCAGCCTCAGAGCCTTTCTGCCATTCTAAACAATTCCCTCACGCCGCTTAGAGTTAATCACTACTCTCACCCCCAGCCCGACAGTCTGCTTTTTCTCACTACCCGTGTGCCTTTTCTGGATATTTCAGATAAATGGAATCAGACCAATTATGGTTTTTGTGTCTGACTTTGCTCTCTCAGCAGTTTCCAAGGTTCATTCGTGTTGTGGCATGTATCAATACTTCATCCCTTTTTATTGCTGAACACTCTTCTATGGTATGATATACTACATTCATTTACCAGTTGAGAGACAACTGGGTTGTCCCCAATATTTTGTTAATATTATGAATAATACTTTTCTCAACATTTGTGTCTGTGTGTGGAAATATGTACATTTCTTAGATAGATTCTTGGGAGTAGGGCTCATACGGTAAGTTTATCTTAATAAACTATGAAACTGCTTTACAATTTCAACAAGCACTAAGTGAGGGTTTCAGTTTCTCCATATTCTGTCAATACTTGGTACTGTCTTTATGATTATGCTTCACTTGTACCAACAAGTGCAGCATACTTTTACTGGGTATACTTTTAGTGGTATCTTGTAGTAGTTTTAATTTGCATTTTTCTAGTAATTAATAAAGTTAACATCTTTTCTTTTTGGTTCTTTATTTTTATATGTATATTTTTTCCTTCCCATTACTGGGGATTGAACCCTGGTCACATACACTAGGCAAATGCTGTACCACTGAGCTACATCCTCGAGCTCCTTTGTGTGTGTGTGTGTGTGTGTGTGTGTGTGTGTGTGTGTGTGTGAGAGAGAGAGAGAGAGAGAGAGAGTGTGTGTGTGTGTGTGTGTGTGTGTGTGTGTTGTTTTTTAAGCAAAATATCCATTCAAATCTCTTACCCATTTTGGACTGGGGGGTACTGGGGACTGAACTCAGGGGCACTCAATCACTTAGCCTAATCCCCAACCCTATTTTGTATTTTATTTAGAGACAGGGTCTCTAACTGACTGGTTGCTTAGCACCTCACAGTTGCTGAGGCTGGCTTTGAACTTGCAATTCTCCTGTCTCAGCCTCCCAAGCCTCTGGGATTACAGGTGTGCGCCACCTCGCCTGGCTTCTCTTGAGTTGTTTTATTGAATTCTAAGAGTTCTTTATTCTAGATACAAGTCCTTTATTAGATATATGATTTGCAAATATTTTCTCAATCTGTCATTTGTCTTTTCATTCTCTTAAGAGCACGATTTTTCAAAGAGTAAAAATTCTTATTTATAGATTTTTCTTTCATGGGCTTGTACTGTTGGTGTCATATCTAAGAACTCTTTGCCTAATCCAAAGGCATGAAGAATTTCTCCTATTCTTCTTCTAAAAGTTTTATAGGTTTAGCCCTTATACTTAGCTTATGATGCATTTTGAGTTAATTTTTGTCTAGGGTATGAGATAAGGATTTAAATTTGTTTGGTTTATGTATGGATTTTTAATCATCTCAGCATAATTTGCTGGAAAGACCATCTTTTGATTATTGAATAGTTTTGGCCCCTTTGCTGAAAACCAATGCACAAATATTTTTCCCCCTAGACTTGCTTTTGTTCCACTGATCTATATATATTAAGCCAACATTACACTGTGTTGATTATTGCAGACTTAAAATAAAGTTTTGAAATAAAGCAGTCTTACACCTCAAACTTAATTCTTTATAAAGACTGGTTTGTCTTATTATAGGTCTTTTGTATTTCCATATAAATTTTAAGACTGTCTTGTCAAATTTTATAAATGCTGAGATTTAGACAGGAATTGTACTGAACTTGTGGATCACCTGGGGAACACTGCTATCTTGTTAACAGTGAATCTTTTAAACCATGAACATGAAATATCTCTCTATTTAGATTTTATTTTTTCTCAGTTATGTTCCCTAGTTTTCATTGTACAAATTTTACATTTATTTTGTTCAATTTATAATCAACTATTTTATTCGTTTTGAAACTATTATGACAGAATTGTTTCTTAATTTCATTTTTAGTTTGTTCCATTTCTAGTATATAGAAGTAAAATTAATTTTTGTATGTTGACCTTGGATCTTTGTGACCTTGCTAAAAATGCATACTAGACTTAGAAATTTTTATTTTTGTAGATACCTTGGGATTTTCTACAGAGAGGATGTTAGAAAGACAGTTTTACTTCTTCCTTTCTGATTTGGATGCATTTCTTTCTTTTTCCTGCCTGATCTGATGGGCTAGAACCTTCAGTACATGCTGAAGAGATACGGTGAGAGTGAAACCTGTTGTTTTTTCCTCAGTCTCCCTGAAAACATCAAGCATTTTGCCATTAAATATGATGCGAGCTGTGGATTTCTGTAAATGTTATTTATCAGGTAAAGGAAATTTCTTTCTACTTTAGTGTGTTGAGAGTCTCATTATCAATGGGTGTTATACTCTGTCATATGCTTTTTCTGTGTCTTGAAAGATTCATATAAAGCTCTTATCTTTTATTATATTTGTATATTCTCTCCTTTCTTGTTCAATCTAATCAAAGGTCAATTTTATTGATAAAAAAATTTTTTAAAACAAAATTTTTCATTGAATTTTCTCCATTATTTTTCTGCTTTCTAGTTTATTGAGTTCTGTTCCCTTCAGTGTCTTACTTTACTTCTACTTTGTTCTTGTCGTTTTCTCCAGGTTGAAGAAACTTAATTTATCAATACTAAAACTGAGAACTATAAATTTCCCTGTAAATACTGGTCCATCTGCATTCTATAATCTTTCAACTTGAAACATTTTAAAACCCATTCAAATTTTTTTTCAGGATCAATATCCCATTTTTGTCCCAGGGGTATTTAGAAAACATGTTGTTTAATTTCCAATATTTGGAAATTTTCCATATTTCTATTGTTAAATTCTAACATAATTCTACTGTGGTTTGAAAACATACGTTGCACAATATCAATTCTTTAAGATACACTGAAACTTATTTCATGGCCTTAGGATACATTCTGGAGAATGTTCTATGTGTACTTAAAAAATATGTATACTTTGTTGGGTGCTGTGCTCTTTATGTGTTAGGGAGAAAGAGGGTAGAAAGGAGACCTAGAGGTACAAAGATTAACACATATTAAGAAATGTCTGGAACTATAAGGTCTGAATTATGACTTTAGGAAGTTATTAAAAGCAAGTTTTCTACAAACAACTTTACAAAGCAATGAGTCAGCCAGGCACAGTGATGAACACTTGTACTCCCAGGGGCTCAGGAAGTTGAGGCAGGAGGATTGCGAGTTCAAAGCCAGCCTCAGGAACTTAGGAAGACCTTGTCTCAAAATAAAATACAAAAAAGGACTGGGGATGTGGCTCACTGGTTAAATGCCCCTGAGTTCAAACTCTGGTACTAAAAAAAGAAAAAATAAATGAGTCAGGATTATTATATCTTATGGGACTAAAATATCCAACTGTGCCTTTGGGTACTTGTAGCTTAGGATAAAATTACAGATGTTAACAGACAGAGATCCAAAAACAACTATATTTCAAACATATTAGACTGTAGTGAAGGTCATATACTCTGAAAACCATGTAAAAATAACTTTAAAAGTTATTCTAATGATGAACTAAACAATTTATTATTTCACTGAGTCACCAATTAAAAATTAACCCATTTCATCTCATAGATAATAGTTGAGAAAACAACTTGAAATTACCAGGTTTACTACACTATTACCACCAGTCTTATTTCGGTAGTTAATGAAGATAAGACCCTCCCCACCAGGATACTAAAATTCCTGGATGCATGTTTTATATAAAATGATATATTGGGGCTGGGGTTGTGGCTCAGTGGTAGAACGCTCATGTGTGAGGCACTGGGTTCGATCCTCAGCACCACATAAAAATAAATAAAATAAAGGTATTCTGTCATCTACAACTAAAAAAATTTTTTTTAAATGACATATTATTTGCACATACCATAAGTAATCTTCCCATATACTATGGTCCCCAACTTAGAATAGTTCAGCTTATAATTTTTCAACTTTATAATGGTGTAAAAGTGATATACATTCAGTAGAAAACATACTGTGAGTTTTGACGTTTTCCCAGGCCAGTAATATGAGAACAATAATTTTTCTACTTTCTTGCTGAGCAGGAGTAGCAAGCCATAGTTCCCAGTCAGTCATAAGATCACAAGATTACAAGAGGAAAACAATCGATACTCCATGCGCACTGCGTTGCTAAGCTCAGATGTTCAGTAGGTTAGGTGCATTACATGTATTTTCAACTTAGGGTATTTTCAACTTAATGGAGGGTTTATCAGGACAAAATCCCAACACTAGAGGAGGAGCATCCATACTTTAATTCAGCTCTAAATTATTTATAATGCCTAATACAATGTAGAAACTATGTGAATAGTTGTATCATTCATTTATTTGTATTGTTTTATTATTATTATTTTAAAAATATTTTTGACCCTCTGTTGGTTTCATGAATGGGGAATATTCAGATACAGAAAGCCAAACATATTGAGTACTGTTGAATCAAATACCATTATCATGAAATCTCTTTATAATAAAATATCACCAAGACCAAACTTAGTTTGGATCATAACCAGTAGAACAAATGAATTTGGGCAAATGTCTGCAAACTGCTATAATAAAAATTGACATGTCTTTAATTGGCTAAAAAGATCAGCACAATATCAAAATGCAAATTAAATGTGTCTGTGCTTAAAATAAATCAATATAAAGTTAAAGGAAATAAGATTGGGCACTTAAATTTGTATGCTTTCCATGGTCAGATTTAATGAGAACTTGGGCTTGCTGACAAATCATGCAGAATTAGTATCCTCTCTTAATGTAGTGGTAAAAGGTAACACAGAGGGGCTGGAAATGTGGCTCAGTGGTATAGGGCTTGTCTGGCATGCATGAGGCCCTGGGTTTAATCTCTAGCACTACAAGAAAAACAAAAACAAAAACAAAAAAATGGCAATATGGAATAGGTGACAAACAAGAGGTGCTAGCAGCCCCTGAGAACAAAGATGCAGCCCCCTAGGTCTCTGGAATCCCAAATTGCTTTCCCTGAAACCATGAGACTCAGTCTGGCAGCCCTTTTTTACACTTGGAATATCAGGTACTTTGGGTGGGGGTTCCCCTCCCATTCAGCATGCAACAAAAGGGCTACATGATCTAGTATCTAACAACTCCTTCCTCCCTCTCCTAGGAAAGTATTTATGATAGTGTGTATGCATGTATATTAAAGAATGAGACTAGTACAGAACTGAGCCGTTTCCAAAGATCGAAGAAAAGAGAGCCCATTATTTTATCTTATCTCTTGACTTTGGAGTTTCTGCTTATTCCATTTCTTTGTAACTGTTCATCCGTTCTAAGGGAAATAAATTAGCAGCTGCTTCTTAGACATTTCCCCAGGCCTCCTTATAATCAGGTAATGAAAAGTTTCAGCAAGCACACATACATAAATGTGCACATACATTCTCTCTCTCAGAGATCCTCTCTTTTTATACCTTCATTTACATGATAAAACCGAGATATACAGAGATCCTCAGTGACCCATCTAGGAAGCTTTGGCAGAGTCAAGACAAGATCTCAGATCTTCTAATTCCCATTTCAGCACTCATTCCATTCCATTACTCTGATAAATCATTCTATCAAACCCTCAGTATGACTGACAATAGCTGCTGGCTGCAACAACATTTTCTATTAACAAAAAACTCAAGTTATACGAACTCAAAAGCCATTCAAACATCCTCTTTCGGAGTCCAGAACATCTGATACAGATGACAAGATTCACAGAGGGCTATCTAGCTAGGCTGGGTGAGCAAGGTCTGTTGACTGCCTATCTTTATTTTTTCCCTTCACCTCCTCACACTAAGACTTGTATTCATTTCAAGAGGCAAGGTAAGTGCTACCATCCCTAATCCATTGGATTATTTCACCCCAAAACTTGGCTTAGTTGGTATATGTACTGCTATCCATGTACAGAGCATAGTTTTATCCTAATGCTGCACAAGGTTGACTGAAAAGGTTTGAATAAATAAACACTGAGTTAAAACTAAATCTCTAGCAAAAACAACAATCACTAAAATAACACATTTAAGAGCACTGAAACTTCTTTAATAGATCTCTTTAATAATCAACTTTAACAGGTAAATAAGAGAGCAATAAGTATACAATTTGTTATTATGCTTCAATTCTGAAATGTTATTTTAAAGAAATGTTTAATGTTAACAGTTGCTTACTTATTGGCTCTGGAGGGAAACAGATCCATCAAGAACTAATCAATTTAAGCAAAGAATTTGGGTAGGTATAAGCAGGAAATGTTAAAAGGATGCATGAAATAAATGACTAGCTAATTTGATACAAATACTAAATAAAATCAAACTTATCACTCCTTTCCCTCCTTTGAATGAGGTAACTCAGATTGAATATGCTGGCCAAGAATGAATTTGTTCACATCTTCCTTGGAACTGACAGTAAGAAAAGAACCTGCACCCCGACTCAAGTTCCCATTTCTACAATTCATCCTCACCTCAAGATAACTAGAAAACTCCATGAATAGCCCATTGACCTACTTAGGCTAAAATCTTCTCCAAAGCATTACACATCAAGGGTACAATAGAAACAGCAGAGTTTCTAATCTTTTTGGTAGACAGGAATAGCCTCTACTAGGCAAGAATAGCATCAGCCACCAATGAGGATCAGAAAACTAGATTCACATGTATAAAAATTAAAAAAAAATTAATTTGGGAAAAAGGTGCCATATGATAATTGAATTAGGAAAAGGTCTAATTCTAAGTCAGAAAACTGATACAAAAGGTTAGGTATGATTTATCCTTAACACCAAACACAACTGGAGGTATCCATGTTAATAAGAAGCACAGGCTCAAGAGGAAAATTGCAGCATATCCCATTTCTGATACAAGCCTAAAGGTAGCAATTTGGGCTAAAAGTCCCTCCAGCTAAGAACCTATGTAAAAATGCTACTAAAGAGCAAAAGCATGTTAAACTACATATCGCCAGAAGACCGAAGTAACAGCAAACATGTCCCTGTGAACTGAAGAACAAGTAAGCTCATAGCCTTCCAGAACCTGGCTTGCATTCAAAAGGAGCTTCAAGAAAACTTAGTCTGGGAAATGTGAACCCCTCTGTTTCTACCACTAGCTGGAGGACTCTGGGAAAGTCACTTCGATTAGAGTTTTAGTTTCTTACTTGTAAAATAGAAATTATTTCACCTTACTCAAAGAGTTATTGTAAGCATTAGGTAAGATGATCTATAAGAAAGTACCTAACATAATTATTTGTTTAATGAGGGTGTTTTATTGCTATTTTCTTTAAAGACAATCCAGGCTCTTACTACTGTGGTAGAAGAAAATAGAGCTATTCTTTCAGAGGTTTTATTTGGTTTGCTTTTAATCAAAGAAATGCCATGATAAAGAACTGACCAAAGTTACTTACTTTAAAATTGAACTTATAGTTACTGTAGACCTAAAGCTTCCCATTGGATTGTACAAATATAATCACAGAATATTAAAAATAGGTCTTTCTGTTTTCACATTGCAAAATATTCTATGTGCTCATTTTTGAAAAGGGTATTTCCATCAGTTAAAAAAAATCACTGCTGCAAATTAAGTGATAATTTAGTTCAAGGTCATTATCAGATCAGATGACCAAACCTGAAAAATACTGTTCTCAAGTCAGAGATCTTGAAGAAAAAATGCTCTAATGGGATTAAAATGCCTTGCAAAGAATTACAGCATGAATAGCTCAAGAAATCTTAATTTATAAAAGGTCACAGAGTTACAAAAAACATCTCTCATTTCAACTAATTAAATGAAATTTTAGTTAAACGGCACCTTTAAGTATTGGCATTGCAGCTGCGAGTGCATTTAAATAGCATTTACGCAGATATAATTAGCACAATTAAACATGGGTAGAAGTGGAAACACTATTCTTAATTATATTGATATAATCAGATTTATTAATGCTTTATAGCAACAAAAGTGACATCTGACAGTAGTACACAATTCGTGAGTGAACCTAATATTAAGCATTTTAGCATATTAAGCAATCTAAAGCTAGGTAATTAGGGAAAGGAAGAAGTCAAATAACGAGTTCCTACCTGTGACGATACCATAGTTGGGAGGTTCAAGAATTACTCCATAAAACTGGATGATGTTTCTGTGACTGAGGACACTCAGTATTTCTGCCTGTACAAAAATCAAATGCAAAATTATATAAAATTCCATTTATAATAGCCTAATAAAATAGGATTCCTATTCAATTTTATTTACTTACATTTACAGAGATATACAACAATATGTGATGCTGAGAAAATTGTCTTTAGTGAAATGCTTGAAAGTTAAAAATTTTCTTTTGAAGCTTTATGAAAATTTAAAAAGGAAATGAGGCTGAAGAGGCAACCAAAGAGGTGGGTACTAGACAGTCTGCATGACTGACAGGAGGGTGAATCAAGAGGTAGATGCCATACAGTTAAAGCCCTTCTCCTAATAACCAAATATGTATATTTTTTCTGCATAATATCTCTTTTGGGAAGCCACAGCAAGTCTAAACTTCTGTTGATAGTATGAGTCAAAATTAAGGTAGAGATTTTCAAATATTACTGGAAGAGATTCAGGTAATACCCATTTATATTATTACCTAATAATTTATTCCAGATATAATGTTGTTCTTTTTTGTATGCAAGTTACTGTAAAAATTAAAGGTAGGCTCTTGACCTTCACTGTGATCTGATAGGACACCATGTTTGTATACTTTGAAATATATTAATACAGAAAACTGCACTGAAGAGTGACATTGCAAAAAATAGTTATTAAACTTAATTGTTAAAACAGAAAAACAGACATACCACCGTGCATACTTGACAATGTCTATAGAATATTAGATACTGCCTAGATAAATCATATATATTCATTGAAATTTTATTAGTTTTATGGAGATAAAATATAGTTAATCAATTATAAATATAATTTACTTTATAATTTATTATAAAATAAATATAATGAAGCATAAAATCATGGGAGTTAAATATAAAAAAATGTTTTATATTTTAAGTGAAAGTTATGTTACTAGCAATAAGAAAATAGTAGATTTTTAAGATCCCACCCCAGAAAGGAGATCATCAAGAAAAATATCTTCATTAACAAAAATGGATGACTGGCAAGTGGTGCACACCTGTAATCCTAGCAGCTCGGGAGGCTGAGGCAGGAGAGTTGCAAGTTCAAAGCCAGCCTCAGCAAAAGCAACTCAGTGAGACCCTGTCTCAAAATTTAAAAATAAAGCACCAAGTGCTGGGAATGTGGTTCATTGGTTGAGTCCTCCAAGCTCAATCCTCAGTATCCCCCACCCCCCCCAAAAAAACATGGAGAAGCCCTGGTCAGAAGGGGGAACTCAGATGCTTGCCTAACAGGTGTGAGGCCCTGGGTTCAATTTCCAGTACTATCAATAAAAACAATTTTTTTAAAGAGGGAAGAGGAAGAGGACAGGGAGAAAGAGGAAGAAGAATGGGACCTGCCCTTTGGGAATCTGCACATATGAATTGATATTTTTTTTATAGGGTAAGAGTTAAGATTTCATTAAAAACATAATCTGGGGTTGGGGTTGTGACTCAGTGGTAGAGCGCTCACTTAGCACATGCGAGGCCTTGGGTTCGATCCTCAGCACCACATAAAAATAAATAAAATAAAGGTATTGTGTCCAACTAAAAAATAAATATTTGAAAAAAAAACATAATCTGTGAAACTGTTTTTGAGGGTGATACAAATAGGTAGAAAACAGATTTGAGGAATGGCAGGGGGTTAATATGGAATAGAGAATGGAAAATTATCATTGATTAGATAGGACACTTATCAAGGCTGAGCTGACAGTGTTTTTCTTTTGTGTTGAAGGGGGCTATTGTTGCTTAGACAAACAATTCCTTAGCACCCGTCAAGTGCCTACTAGGTGCAGAGCCTCTATGTTTACTAAGAACCACCCTCACATACTTCCCAATCAGGAAGAAAATGCCTTACTTGGGCATCACAACTATTCACCTACATGGCAATTCTAAATTCTCATTATGAAATGATGCAGGATTTCAAGGATGGTGGAATGTGATGAACATCATTATCCAAAGTACATGTATGAAGACACGAATTGGCTGTCAACATACTTTATATAGATATAAAAAATTGTGGTATATATGCGTATTAAGAACTGTAATGCAAAAAAAGTACATGTATAAAGACATGAATTGGCATGAAGATACTTTATATACAAAGATATGAAAAATCATGCTCTATATGTGTAGTAAGAATTATAATGCATTCCACTGTCATATATTTTAAAAAAATAAAATCAATTAAATTTTTTTAAAAAAAGAGAATTCACACAAAGTTTGGAAATCACAAGCTGCCCTATTTTCAGTGGCAGATCAACACTTTGGGAATAAAGTATTAGAATGCAATGTGAGAAAAGCAGTAGAGTTATGTCTGGATTGGTATTTGTCAAACCGGGAAATACCAACCTTTGGTATATTCTTTGGGGTATCTGAATTCTGTGACCATTAAAAATTTCTGTATCAGTAATGAACAAATATGGGAATATTTTTAATCCTTGGATGACCACTTTATAAATCAGAAGACTTTTAGCGTTCCAGCTTATTTTCATGTTTATATTTAAGGTTTTGCCAAGCAATACCTCGAGGAAGATAGTGTTTATTCCTTTTAGAAGTTGGTAAGTATGAACACAAGACTACCCTTTTGCAGTGTACTTTGAAAGTAAAGGACATTTTCCTGGAATAAGGATTTAGGTTTTTATTTAATGAACTCAGAATCTGATTTAACAACATGAAAACAATACAATACTTTAGAGTGCTGTTCTAGTTTCATGGAAATAGGCTAATAATCAACAGGCAGACAATAAGTGACGTGTTTTTAAAAAATAAAAAAGTCAAATGATATCAGGATGCTAGCAATTCAGACAAGCTCCAACAGAAACAAGCGTGGAGTTAACTGAATGATGAAAACCTGTGCTCCCAGCAGTCAGTACCTGATAGTAAGTACCTACAGGTGTCTGCTTGCAACAGTGTTATTATTCCATTATTTCCTAGATTTACATTCTGGGACACACTTAGTAGATGGACTGTCCATCAAAATAATGTATTAGTGTTTTAAAAATAAGCTTGCTGTTAAAAAGGAAACATAATAATGATAACAGCTAAATTAATAATGGTCCATCATGCCAAAAAATTTTTACATTATTAAAACCAACATAAACCATTTGCTTTCAGTAAATATAATTTTATACAAATTGCTGATTTCAATTGTATTGATTTTGTTTTTATCTTTAACTGAAAATTTAATTTTGATTTTTATAGGTATATGAGCTATTCTCAACTTCTTGTGTCTACTTCAGTTACAATGAGTAATAATTTTTGTCAACCTTGAAATCCAGAAGGCTTAATTTTTCCTATATAGGATCTACACATTTTATACTTTGCAAAACACTATTCTAAGGACTCAGACACTTGTACCCAATTTCATATAGCATTACTAACAATAGCCAAAAGTGATAACAAGTGTTCATATGCTGACAAACATGTGATGTGAAAATACTACTTCAGCCATAAAAGGAATTAATTCTGATACATGCTGTTAAATGGATGAACCTTGAAAACTTATCTGAAATGTACATAGTAGGTAAATTCAGAGAGAAAGCATACTAGACAGATTAGAGGTTACCAGAGGCTGGGCAGAGGAGGAGATGGGGAGGAGTTACTTCTTAATAGTTTCAGAGCTTCTGTTAGGGGTGATGAAAAATTTTGAAAATAGATGGTGTCAATGACTGCATAATGCTGTAAATATAATTAAATCCTCTGAATTACACATTTAAATAAAGTTAAAATGGCAAATTTTATGATTAAGATATATATATATATATATCTTACCACAATAAAAAAGCTTGAAAGATGATTAGACTTTTGCAGAGATTATCAGAATCTATGTATTCAATAATCATCTTAAGGTCTAAATAATCATGGAATAAATATGTAATTGTTCAGATTAGGATTTGAGGATCTAAGGAGTAGCTGAGACTGCAACAACTTTAACTCAAGCTCCAACATACTCCAAAAAGTAAGGGTCTCAATCAGAGGAATAAATGGTGTAGCGAAAACTCTACCTATAAAAATATCTATGAGGAATGCATGTATCAATGGTCAAAAATGCCTATGCTATCTTTGCAGTGAAATGTGTGCCTGCTCTCACTGTTTACAGCTGAGGCCAGTTCCTTCTTCCCTTCCTTCCTTCTTACGTTTTTTATAGAAAAAATTACAAGAGTTTCAGTTTGTTAATAAACCTGGAGAGGAGGTAGGTGTTTTGTTGTTCATTTTCATCTGGCATTTCTATTTGTTTATATGCAGAGATGAGCTATTAGCTCAGTGTGCCATGTTCCCAGAAGTTGACCAGCACACAGGTTCCAAAAGACCAATTCCATTGGAGATATTAAAAGAAGTCAAAGATCAGTTTTAATTCCTTTCCTTAAAGGACTTTCTCAAACAGTTTAAGATAAGATTAGTATCTCCACTTCCAGAGATCCCATCCCCTTCCTTAATCCAAAATTGTTTTTCAGGGAGGGGAGGGGAGCCCAGTGATAGAACAATTGCTTAGCATGCCTCAGGGCCTGGGGTTTAATCTCTAGCATCATGGAAAATAAAAAAAAACCAGAAAACTTTTTATCACCCAAGCCCCAAATTAAAACTTATTTAATTTTGGAAAGCTGCCACAATATTCTTAGAGATTCGACATCTTGGGTTGGGGATGTGGCTCAAGCGGTAGCGCTCTTGCCTGGCATGCATGCGGCCCACATTCCATCCTCAGCACCACATACAAACAAGGATATTGTGTCTGCAGAAAACTAAAAAATAAACATTAAAAAATTCTCTCTCTTAAAAAAAAAGATTCGACATCTTTAAAACTTATTTTGTATCTTCTAAAGTCCATTGATAAGTCTATGTGTGTTTATATGACAAAAATATTAAAAATAAAACTGAATTCAGTGGTGCATGCCTGTAATCCTAGGAACTTGGGAGGCTGAGGCAGGAGGACTGCAAGTTCCAGGCCAGCAGCAACTTAGCAAGACACCATGTCAAAAAAAAAAAAAAGGAAACTGAGGGGTGTGGGGGTGTGGCTCAGTGGTTAAGCACCCCTGG